AGTTTCTCCGGTTTCATCACTTCTCTACTACTTGGTTTCCCCCGCTCTTCGGATTTTGCGTCCTTTTCACTGATTTCGTCGTTATCGGACTCTCTTCCGCTCTCTTTCTCCTCTTGATTTGATCTCCTCTTAGGATTTAGCATTTACAGATCATCGTTCGATGATGTTAGATCGAAGAAACGCAGAAGACCGAAAATCTTTTTTTTTATTTGACGAGTCAAGATATGATCAATCGCACTCGCACGCTCATGGACCCCGCACGCTGAAGGGACACCTGTTGATTTTTTATTGGGAATCCAGCAATAATCCACACGTCACGCTATCTCGACTCTCGAGCTTTTACTTCTATTTTTTTTCGCATCATGCGTTTACTTCCCACTTAAGTTATAAAGATGAAGAACCTCTTCAATTGAGGTGTTCAGTGTTCTCTCCCTTTGCAGAGAGAAGAGAAGAGGGGAGAGAAAGAGAGATCAGAGTTCAGAGATGTCTTCCAACACCATCAACAGGAGCGAGCTCAAGCCGGGCGATCACATCTATTCCTACAGACAAGCATACACCTACTCTCACCATGGTATCCATTGATTGCTTCAATTTCTTTACTCTCTTCATATCTTCCTGCGCATTAATTTACCGTAATTGCTAGTTTCTGGTCTGGTATAACAGGGGTCTACGTGGGTAACGAATATGTCATTCACTTCACTTCAAACAAAGCTCTGCTTTTCTCCTCCTCCGGCTCCGGCACTCCCTGCCCAAACTGCGGCTACGATGGGAAGGCGCATTTCGGAGTGATCAAGAGCTGCCTCGACTGTTTCCTCGACGGCGGCAAGCTTTACCGCTACCAGTATGGAGTCAATGTGGTCAAGTTCATGACCCAAATCCGAGGGGGGACGTGCAGCAGCCATGCTTCGGACGAGGCTTCAAAAGTCATCAGACGTGCAAATACGCTGTACGAGGGGAACAATTTTGGGGACTATAATCTGTTCAATAACAACTGCGAGGACTTCGCCGTCTACTGCAAGACAGAGAGGTTGATCAGTGGGCAGGCAGTTGGGTTTACGGCTTTTACCACTGCTTTGGTGGTTGGAGGATTTGTTTATAATTTGGGTAGGTATGTATACGACAAAACTAGAGATCGTAAGAAAGCTCTCAAGGAGAGAGCGGGCACTGGATCAGTTTGTTCGGATGATGATGCAGATGGGCACCAGAAGTGAGCACCTGTATCCTTGTTGAAATATTTCTCTGTTATCTGGTTTGGAACTGTTTCAAAATTTTTGTTTTTGGAGCCTATTCAATTGACTAATTGGGGTTCTAGCTGTTGTAGGGGTGATCAAGGTTGGGGCCTGTGACAAGGGGCATAGCGTGGGACATGCCTTGATGCTAGATGTGAGGTGTAGTTTGGGGCGTAAGTTTAAGTATTACCAGTTACTTGGTGATTTAATGAAAAACATATATATTTTATGCATCTTTAATAATTCAAAATATATGGAAGAATCATTTCACTAGTTATGGGCCAAATGAATAAGAAGATTAAAAATGAAAAATTAGTAGGTGAAATCAAGTTATCAAGTTCTCACTTTCTCTTGAATATGTTAAGTGAGATTTTATTTTTTCTAATTAACTAAGCTGTTTTCTTTCTTCTAAACTATTGAATGACCATAAGTCTAATTTCCAATATATATGAGTGATTCTTCGTATGTTTCCTTTCTTCTAAATTGATCATTTTAATTATTTGAGAAATATGTGAAATGTTTATAATTGTTAATTGATTAATTATTATTTTATTTAATGTTTAAATACTAAAATTTATTGCTTATAAATTTTTATTTTACATTCTTTGTATATTATATGATATTTTTTATCAATATATAAACTTTGATTAATTTTATTCTTAAGCTTTGAGACTTGATGTCTCGCAACACTTTGAGGCTTAAGATTCACCTTTTAGGACTATTAGGCTTCTCCTATGCTTTTAGCCTCTTAAAGCCTTGGCCTAGGCCCAAAGCCTGAAGGGCCTAAAATCGGATACATGCTATATGCACATAATATAAATACATATAATACGTGTATAAAATTTGTCATACATTATATAATAGGGTCCATGCTTTATGCACATGTTGAGGTAAAGATGAAAGAGTAAAAGGAAACCTCTTATTCTCTTATAAAATAAGACATTTTCAAAAAATTAATCAAGTTTTATTAAATGATAAATTCGAATATATTTTAAAAATAATAACCAAAACAATGAGCGGGGGATTTTTGGTTTTTTTTAGACCAAAATACCCTCAAGGGAGTGTTTTTTTTTCCGGATTTTGAGAGGGAGAAAGTTGGTCAATGGGATTTTGATTCTCATTGATCAAGAATCTCATGTTCTTTTCTTTTTCAAATTTATGTGTGTCTTGGAAAATTGCCAACATTTGAATGGGACAAAAATACCCATTTTAATAATGGATTTTTATTACTAAAATGGTCATTTCCTTATTTATATGAAAAATAAAAAAACATGGGTAAATGCAGTTACTCGGGTAAGTCTTTCTTGGGAAACACTTACCTGGATAAGTAATTTACCAAAAAACAAACAGGATTGGGTTTACCATCTCTCATTATCCCAAGTTCCTTAGCTCCCTTCTCTCTCTCTCTCTAATATTCTGTTTGGCATATATGAAAAAGCTTAAATCAATGCCATCAAATAAACTAAGTACAGCAAACAAGGTCGCCCAATTGCTCCAAACGGCCAATAATGTTTATGACCAAGACTATGCATCAACATCAACAAACAAGGTTGCCTGATACGCCAGGTAGGGCGTATTGGCTTGTATCGGTGTTTTATTTTTTTTTTCAAAATTAATTCGGAAGTGTCGGTTTAAGTCCTAACTACTCTCTGAACCATGCCCTGACCYGATACACCCCTGTAGGGGCATACCGGGAAGGCCCTAATATGATATGTATCGGCTGATACCGGCCGATACAAGATACAATATCCAACTATTCATACGGGCCAATACGGGCTGATACGGCCAGTGATAAATCATGGTTGAATGGGATTATCCAACTACAAGATACAATATCCAAATCCTCTATTCATGCTTTTTAGTCCATTCTCCCTCTTTTCTTAGCACAAATTAATTGAGAGACCATTGATTTATCACTGGCCGCATTTAGTAAGCCATGATTAACATCGTTTGTCTTTCAGGGATACATGGACAAAAAGATTTATAACCAAAATCAATGGAAGATGAACTTGAATTAACATTTGATAGTATTTAGCCTATCGTAGTTCCCAAATCAAATGTGTTAATCTGCAAAACCATTATCAAAGACCTTTATTCTACTTAGTCCTTACTATTCAAAGATTAGGCTTTATTCCAAGGGAAAAATAGTTCAGACAATCGTTGCCCTAGAAGTCTACAAAATTTCATATCCATCTGTAGGAGCTCTTTGGAATCCAATACAACTTTAAAGAAATAAAAAAAGATTTGGTTAAGACGTTTGTTGGTGAAATCATGGTAATTCTCAATGGCATCAAACTCTTCTCTGATCCGAGTGGATCGTCTCTTCCGTTATTGCGGAATGGTGCCTGGTAGCACCACCACATAGAGGTTGAAGAAGATATTAGGGTTTCTTACCTGAAATTCTCGATACCTTTATTTCATATATGATGATATTAATAGAAGTGAGCCATAATGGCCATTACAGTGTTAGAAATGATAACTGATGATTGGTAATGATTAGATGAGTCGGTTACACTAATGCGACAGGCTGCAACAACTACAGGTTGGCAGTTATGGAGTGAGACTTTGAGCCAAGATGGTTAACCTACAATGGGTCGGGTCCAATATTAAATTTGGTCCCTTGCAATTGGTAAAGCTCCCTCCAGAAGACACTTGTGAAAATTGGGTCTCAGTCACTAGCCACTAAGATAGGCATATGATGCAACATAGGTGGTGTTCGGTAGTGAGAAAATATTGTGGATATGATCGTTTTGGTCCTATCCATTGTAGAATAGGGTGTTTTGTTGAGTGTGAATGGTCTCCATTCATAAAATAGCGTGAATAGGAATGGGCCACACCCTAATTTATCGTCCACATTATTTTATCATGGACGGGTCACACTATGGTGTGAACAGTTTGTGGGAAAGATACTGTGTAATGCACTTGTGTAATATTGGTCTAATTACTAATCTTTTAATATACTATAATTTATATAGAAATTATTTTTTAAATTATTTATTGCTGAAGATAATATTACAATGACATATATATTTATTTTATAATTATTAGTAATTATGTATTGATGTTTTATTTTATCCGTTATTATTTTAAATTATTTTTGGCTTAAATTATAGTTCTTTTTCATTCATGATTGTATGGGTGCGAATGGATCAAATCATGGTCTGATCCGAAATCTGATCATGTTTTTGTCATATTCGGATAACCATCCATCATATTTTTGGATTGGATCAGATCCAATTCGAATCACCCCTATTTGATCCAACATGATCAATTGAGTAAAATTATCTCACAAATTATACATAAGATGTATGGAACCAATAGGTGTGGTGCGGACCAATCCACATTACACCTGTAGACGCCCTTTGTGGGTGTAGACCGTTTTTGTCTATATAATTTGGTTCATAGTTTAGAACAGCTGTAAACTGTAGTGTGGTGTAGACTGGTCCCTGCTATAGAGTGTGGTGTGGACTAGTCCATACTCACCAATTTCTCATCCACATTATAGAATACCCCCATTGAAAACTCCTTCTAACAATACTTGTGCTACTTCCTTGGCTATGTATGGATGGCTCATAGCCAAAAAATGGTTATATTATCACCATTATGACTGATTTCTTATTGGATACTGGTAATCCTTCTATGAAGTCCATAGATATTTCTGTCCACACCTTTGGAATCTGCAAGGGTTACAACAATCCTAGAATTGGCAAATTCTTAGTTATATTTCTTTGACATATATCACCTGTTGGAGTGTTAGAGAATAAAACCTATTTAAAAACCTCATTTAATAGCTTAAGCTTTTAGGTTCAATGGTTCTCTGAGATGGTATCATAGCCACTTTGACCAAGTGGTTTAGTGTTCAATTCTCGTCACCCCCATTATAATTAATTAAGTCTCAGCACAAGATATGGGTGGGTCTGTACTTGTTCACGCTTCAAGCCCAATGAGCTTTTGTGCCTTCCTTCCCATATGAACTTAATAACCTACTGTATCTCCAGGTCTTGGGCTATTTCTTTCCGAGATCCTCAATCAAGCAAGGTATGGGCCTTGAGATAGCTTGTAACTCCCCCCTTAGTTCTTCTGTAGATAGTTGGCCGATTATCCTTCCCTTTCCTGTATTTGACTTCAAACTCATAACCCAGTAGTTTGCAAATCATTTTTTGCTGGAATGGAGTGTGAAACTTTTGTTCCAACAAATACCCTAGGCTTCTATGATTCGTGATTATGGTAGATCTTCTATCCAAAATGTAGGGTCTCCACTTCTGAACCACAAGCACAACAGCTAATAATTCCTTGTCGTAGGTTGAAAGCTACACATTCCTACAATGTAAAACCATGCGATAGTGGGCTGGGCTAGCCTCTTTGTGATAATATTACACCCACGCCCTGTCCACTAGTATCACATTCTATTGTGTTGGAGTCAATCAGGCCCAGTACTGGTATCATAGTTCTTGTAGTAACTTGTGAGACCTAAGAATCCCTATACTTCCTTCTGTAATTTGGGTTTGATCCATTATAACATGCTGAGAACCTTTCATGGGTCCACATTCACCCCATCTTTGGAAATCACAATGCCCAAGTAATCAATGATTGCAACTACAAGGTCTTGCAATAGACCAAAATATATCATAAATAAAAAGCAGTAAGGATAGACTTTCTTAAATAGTCTCTTCTTAAATAGTCTCTCAAAATTTCATTTATGCATGAGAGCCTGAAAGGAAGAATGTGCATTACAAAGCCCAAACGGCATTACCAAGTACTTAGTGTCCCTCATGTGTTCTAAGAGCTGATTTGTATTCATCACCCTCCTTGAGTTTGATCTGATGGTACCCAGATTTGTAGGGGGTGTTCACGGTTTTGTAACCGAACTGTGTGTGTTTTTTTTAACTAAATCAGTACTACTGGTTTTTGGAAAACTGATAACCGAAACCGAATCAAAGTCAATTGGTTAACTGGTTGATCAGACCTAAAAAGAAAAAGGTGCATTACGAAGCCCAAACGGCATTACCAAGTACTTATAGTGTCCTTCATGAGTTCTAAGAGCTGATTTGTATTCATCACCCTCCTTGAGTTTGATTTGATGGTACCCAGATTTGTAGGGGTGCTCACGGTTCAGTAACCGAATCGTGGGTTTTTTTTTAATTAAACCGGTACTAYTAGTTTTTGGAAAATGGTAACTGAAACTGAATCGAAGTCAATCAGTTAACTGGTTGACCGGTTTGGTTAACCATTG